GTTTGAAGCTCAGGCTGCCATTGCCAAGCCTGTGCCACGAGCTATTTCAAATGTGCAAAAAATATTGATATTCCAAAAACAAAACAAACGGAAAAAAAAAAAAAAAAAAAAAAATCTAAGTCAATGTCCTCTGGAATGGCCCCATTTTTTCTGCCTCAGAACACTCAGATCACCTGGGACAAATGATGAGCCCAGAGATTATTCTGCTATTTCTTCCACGCTCTCTCCTTAACATACACATAAACACAGCATGCATGATTCTATTGAGGGAATGCACGCAGGCCTTCTTCTCTGTTTTTGTACTCTTGTTTTTAAGAAGTTAAAGTGCAAGCGCCCTCAAATTCACTCTTTCCGCTGCACTTTGATGAATATTAGTTGGTCAACTAAATTATCTGTACAAAGCCTTGAGGATGCATTTTCCCATGAGCTTGTCCCATTTTTTTTTTTATTGACATATTCAATTATATTAACAAAAGGTTGGATAAATCTGAAAAAGTTTTGGACCCTGGAATATTCTTCTTTGTAATATATAGTATGTAATAGCAGATAAAAGTATCTATTTGATAGGCTATATTCAGATGTATTGAGATCATTTCTAGGGCTATTAAATACCTTCAAGCTAGAACACTATTGGACAATAGTTTAAGTATACATAGACAAAGCTCCCCTCTGCCACAGAGTATATTTTTACATATATATTAAAAGGACTCGCAAGTAAAAGCAAACTGCAGTGAAGACGTTTCACCACAAGATGGACTTAGGGATGCATGGATTTGGGACGTATGGCAAACAGCAGGAATAAACCGCATGCTCCCGAACTTTTTCCAGAAATGTGTTATTACTCCCACAATGCAAAGCCAGTTTTGAGTAATGTATCAATATTTCTCTATACTATAAAAGAAAAGCAGTCCATGAGGGGGGAGCTATCGATGCTGGGAAGCGCCAAACAACTTGTGTATTAATTCCAGATATTTACTTGTTTGTTTTGACTGTGTTCAGAGCTCCATGGGAGCAATTTTTGCTGTGATGAAACTGAACAGCAGTCCCTGTGGAGTTCATTACAGGCAAAGAGCTAGTGCACTCCCCCACTGCTCCCTGGCCAAGAGGGATTTGGAAGACCCAGAGGGATGGGTTAGCTTGGGTGGGTGGAGTGGAGGGAACCTACAGAATAGGGTGAGGATGTGGAGGGAAGGGGGGGACTCAAGGGAGGCAAGAAGGAAGGAGACCATAAACACTCAGCTAATGACCTCAAACACACTAACAACACAGCAGAAATGAATGAAACTGCACAAATGGCGACATTCACTCCAGGAGCAAATGGCAGAATGTTTTCTTTCTTTAGAATGGGAGAAAAAAGGAGAGAAAAGAGTTTGCGAGAGAAGAGACAGCATGTGGCTGGGCTACCGTTGACCTGTAAGCTTCAGAGCAGGAAGGAGTCAGAGAGCGAGAGCGAGAGCGAGAGAGAGAGAGAGAGAGAGAGAGAGAGAGAGAGAGAGAGAGCATTTGCTCTTTGCTTGTTTTATGTTTCATGTCTCAAATTGGAAGTACTTGTGAAATTGTGCAGTTACTCAATCCCAGAGCAAACTTTACATACCAGAGCAGGGCTGTAATGGCCTATATATGTAACATTAGGGGACCATTTTAAATGCACGGCTTCTGCGCCCCAACCCTCGGTGGTCTCGGTGGTCTGGTCTGGTCTAGGAGAAATTCAGACAGCTCAACTGACCACATTAAAACATTTTGAAACAAAAATGATGATTTAAGTCACGGTCACCAAAGATGAATTTGTTTTTATCATAGACTTAATTGATAAAGGTTTAAGGCACTTCTTCGAGCCGTCACCTCAACATTGTAGGTCGATAACGATGGCTAGCGTTAGCTACACAGCTAGGCTATATACAGTGTTGGCTATACAGCAAGCTTGCCAACACAGAGCTACGACACAACAATGTGTCAAATTAAAGTTCTTTAAACAGGATCGTGTATCCAAGTAGAGTTTATTTGCTTGCTGGTTCTGGGCGAGGGAGAGGTGCTAGCAGGAGGAGTAATGGCTGTAAGAACAGTCCAACAGTCTCACCTGATATAATGCAGATACCAGCAATATCATGCTGAACGCAACACACATTTTCCCAATAAAACTGAGGGGGAATACATTACCGGTCGTGTGGGTTAAATTGAGCGTTGGACTTGAGTTTGAGGTGATGGCTGGTGAGGTGAGTGGAGGTTTGTGGGCAGTAGTTGAGGTGTCTGAAGGCGTGACAGTAGCTGTTGTCACGGTGCGTGGAGTTGAGGTGGTGACAGATAAGCTCCTCATTGTAGGTAAAGTGGAATTTGTGGTGGTGCGTGGAGGTAAGAGACAGGTCTAAATTGTCTTTTGGGGTAAGAGAGAGTCGAGGTATTGCTTTGTGCACTCTGTAAATAGAATATTTATTCATTTGCTGTGAATGTGTTCACATTTGATTCACATTTGAGTCCAAGCGCTCATTTGGCACCAAGATACAAATACCAGCAGTTGAAGAAAAGCCGTCATCCTTGTGTCTCCACAGATGAACTCAATGACATCAAGGAACTGTCTGAGCTGGAGCCCTTCACAGACTGTACTGGTCACAGTACAGGGTCCCGGGACAGTAAAGCCTTTTTGAAGCCGATTTGTGATTTGTGATTTTGGGCTATACAAAATAAATTGATTTGAAACATAAAAAACAACTTAGCTCAATGTTATTAAATGTCTGTTTGCCTAATAGTACAAAAAAACATTTGCATTCACTGTAAATCCTGTCATTAAGTAATACATTTTAAACAAACTACAACTTTAAAGTGGACTCCATCTTCTTGTTATGTAATGTGCATGTTATTCCATTTACTTATGTGTCTGCCAATCATATACCATCTCTTAATGTATTTGTTTCCTGCTTTAACATCTGCAGTTTACATTTCAGGAAAGCTTTATTTAAAAAATACAACGCATGTAAAGTCAGACCTACAGATCCTTCACACAACTTCCTGAACAGCTGTGAGGGACAACAAGTTTAGAAGCGTTTTGTCTTTATATCACTACTGTCAACCAGGACAACCAATGCAGCGACACATAATGATGCTTATCGGTGTTAAAACGGCTGCTAAAGCTCACTGTGAGTAAGTGTTGTAGCTAAAGGAAAATATCTTGTTTTTCTTCTCTTAGTACCAGCAGGAATTACTCCACTGAAGGTGGACGTTCCAGAGAATAACGTGATAAGAGTAACTTGTGCTGATGAAAAACGTTCGCATGGGCCTCAGGAGACACACGTTGCACGTCTTCACGGTGTCACGAAGAAGCTTAACGAACAAAAATGCTATTTTGAGTTCAAAGACCTAAGCTGCTCAAAGAATTATAAACAATCCCTTCTATTCATTGAAAACATAAATGCCACCACTTTGATATTCTTCGGTTATTACAATCAATTTCTCCCCAGTGTTGTGAATGAAGATGAGATGCTTGAACTAACAGCCAGTGAGTAGACTGATCCCTTTTGGTTTCTTGCTTTTTAAGTCTTTGAGCAAGTATGTCAAATGTACCTGTAAAGCGCGCCGTCATTTGATGAGAACCCAACAATAATTGCACAATTTCCTGTTTTGCTGCTAGTTTATGCTAATGTCCCTCGATCTGAAGACATACGCTGATGAGGAAAGGCCTGATGGAACTGCCAACAGAATCATCATTATACACTTATTACTCTGTTTTGTATGTAGATCGCTTGTTAATCTGCTTACATTTGGTATGGTCTGTTAAAGGAAAGATGAGATAGACTCCTAATGTCCTGCTCGACAGCGCTCCAAAGTGTTTTGTTAAATGGTTATATTTCTTCTCATCTTTCAATGTGCACAAACATGTTTTTCTGATTAAAATTTGAATCGTGATGAGAGATTACACCACGACACACAGTTGAAGGTTAAAAACAAAGCACGCCTGATAAAATGAAAGGTGTCTTTTGGTCATCTTACAAAAGCCTTTTCTGAAACTATGCTAAAGTCAAAAGCGTAGCACGCATTTAGAGCAATGATATTAAAGCTATGAACAGTTTGTCAAACCGTAGAATCTTAAACTGGCAGTTTATTTAAAGTCACGCTTGTATAGCACGGCTTTATATCATCGTAATCTGTGCTTTATTGTTCTGTTGAGATCATGTCATATTGTCCATATTTTTGAACACATGCTGAACTGCACCAACTAAAGAAGAAGAAGCTGCAGTTAAGTCCTGCAGACGGATAGAAATGTTGATTCTTGCGTCATCTGCAGGCAATTCATGTTCGGTAGTGTTCTGCCTTTTTATCAGCTGCCGTTTTCATGTTTTTACAGTTTTACCTTTCATATTTGTATGACCTTTTATAATCCATCATAATTTAAAAATTGAAAATAGTATCAGACCACCTTTGTATTAAATACTCAAAAATGAAATAGTAAAAAAAAAAAAAATCACATTTAATCTTTTCTTGTTGGAAGAAATAATCACTTCTTTGCATGTTCATGTAGATGACAAATGCAGCTTCCTTTAATCCAGATCTGGAGGACACGTAGTTCATTCCATGTAGCCGCTAGTATCGCATAAGAAGCCATTGTGCTGCGAGTGGTTAAATAGCATTAAGGCCATCCTCAAGTTCCAACTAGTCAGGAACTATAACACGTCATCATATTTATAGGTATCCATGTTCAGGTGGCATTCTATCACTGCAATATACATATCACATGAACTTGTAGACCAATAGAAAATTGCTTCGAAGGCTCATTCTGGCCTTCGAAGGTTTAGTCCTTCCTTACAAACAGCCCAACTGCTTCAGAACTGCAGGTGTGAAACTGCCACGCCGCTGCAACTACATCATACCGGCCGGCCTTGGTAACGTTTGGCATAAACGTTACCGGAGTGTACTTTTTTTTTTTTTTACTACTGCATTTCTTGGAGAGCAAGTGTTGAGATGTGAAACTCATTTGAACCCGATGAGAGCACTCGCTGTAAGAGGCGACAGAAGTTTGAAAGCTTTATTGCATTTAGTCAGTATACAAGGAGTTTGTGATGAGGGTCTTTAATTTGACATGATGTTCAGAAAACAACAAAAACAACTAAAACAATAAATATTATTTGCAATATTCTAATTTGTGGACTACCCAGAGGGCCTGTGGACGAGCAAACTGAGCCGAGGTAAACGGCAGAGATCAAGGAGAGCACGGTCACATGTTACACAAAGACAAAAACGCTCCCCACCAACAAATGGCCATAATCCTTAAAAGTGACTCTGCACTGTGTGCTATAAACCTGCTAGTGAGGATTTTAAAAAATTCAATTAAAACTCGACTATGCACTGCATATTGCATGTTAATAACTAACTAGGCGACGTTCAATGAATATTCTTTTCTGGAGCATTTTCATAACCGATGATGGTGCGTTGGCGTTGTGAATGGGCATTAATTTACATGTCAATAAAAAAATAAGAGTCAGCATTTTAGTATTTTGCTGGTAAATAATGTATTTAAGGAGTTCTGTAAAGCATCAAAACTCAATATCTAAAAGTGATTAAAAACTTAAATGTTACAGATGCTGTCGTTAGGAGAATGTAGAGACAAACAGCTGAAGAACATGAACAAGATATTAACTGAAAACAAAACAGTTTTACTGCAGTGGGGGGGGGGGGGGGAAGAGAGAAAGGTTAACATTGTATTTGCAAGTCTCAAGACAAATAACTATCAACACACGTCAAAATGTTATGCTGACCAAAACAAAATAACTTACATTTTCTTGCACTTATAAGCTTTGATTTTGAATATAACACATGTAAGTAGTATTGAAGGTTAAGTAGAAAAAGAAACATGGGGCATACACGTACAATAATTCCAATGAGCGGTTAACAGGCTATTTGATGACGTTTAAAGACGTTTTGGTAAGACGCTAAATTAAAGCGTCATTGATCATTAATTACTGACTGTACCTTTCATGTGGTATCGTTGTTATTTTGTAAACTAGTGGTCGTGAGTGTTGTGTATTTGTGACCCACTGGTGTAAACCTACTCACTGTAAAAAAGAATAGAAAAAAGCTGTTCCACCAAATGAATAAAGGGTTCCTAAAACCCGACAGCATTGAATCTATCGCAACGTCTACGCTACAATATGTACAGCAAAACAAAAAGAGGACCGTTGGTGCTTGCTTTTCTCAGTACAATACTTTAACATATTATTTTCATGAAAGACACCTTAACATATATAAACTGCTCTTTCTATGTGTGACTTTCTCTTTGGTATCTCAAAGGTTAGGTACGCTGTGATTTACTTATGACATGGACGGCTTCACAAAGGCGAGGATCTGCTCTCTCTTCAAGTTTGTTTGTTACTTAACAAGACGACGACGCTGCAAACTTACGCGACATTAACGATCACAAAACAGACTAACTTTCTGGGGGGTCAAATGCAGCCACTGGGCCGTGAGGGAGAACTTTGCGTTTTGACTTTAGATTCTTCTTTTTTTGTCATGTCTTCGTTGTGATTTACAAAAAAAAGGAAAAATACCGTAAGTTAAACCAAGGAAGGAGTCTTTTGGTGTCAGTGACTAAGGTAAACAGCAGACGTAAAACTGCTTTTCTTAAAGCTTACCGCTCCTTCTAGGCTGTCAAAAAAAAAAAAAGAGATATTCTGAATTTTTCAAAGACAATACATCGGTGTCAAAATGACTTGCATTCAAAGTGTTGTGGAGACATTTGCCCATGTTCTCCCCCCGGCACATCTCTAGTCTACCCTCTAAATCATCCTTCCTTTCCTAATACATTCATTAGACATGATCATCCTGCCAGCCTTCCATTACCAGGGTAGAAAGTGCAACACGGCAACGCTTCAGCCATCAAAAACACTCAAATCTCTCCACTCTAATTTAACTATTGCCCTCAGTTTTCATGGTCTTCTTTTGTTTCTTTTGCTGCTGACCACAGGTCTCATGAGTCCTACCAAACTCTCAAAAGGTCATTTTTATATGTACCTGATCTTTGTCTTGATTAACTGTTTTGAGGATCGGGAGCATGTAACACCTAACTCCCTTTAAAAAAAACAAAAACAAAGAATTCAATTCTCCAGTTTGTCTGCTTTAAATAGCATCTGCTCACAGCGGCTGCTGAAGAACGGCTTAACTTCACTACATGGAAATACAGAGGACATGCGTTTAAAAGCCATCGCAAATAACACATCAGTGAGTTACAGAACACTGATGTTCAGTGCTGTAACAATATTGAAGTCTAAGGAATCAGAGGTCCATCTGATAAAAAAGGTATAATCTCTATAGTCTTTATCCTAGGGCAGAGAAGGTTTTGGATGTCAGTCATGTTGTAAACTGTATCACCTTGAAAATAAATCCGTTACACATACTATTTATCACAAAGAGCTAAATTGTATAAAAGCAGACAGATGTGTCCGAGTCGAGCATGAAAAGCAGGGAGAGAAGTGGGGGAGGAGTTCTGCGAGCTATGTGTGTGAAACTCCGGGCTTAGCTGCCCTGTGTCTGGTTCTGCATGTGTTTGGCAATGTTGTACACATAGGCGATGTCCGGCCTCTTCTCCGGGTCGGGGTTGATGCACATATCTACCACGTTCCTCAGCTGGTGAGAGGGACAGGAGGAGGGTTGTTGGTTGGGAGGAAGAGAGAGAGAAACGAAACAGTCAGTGAGACGCCAGTGAGACCGAACTGCAAAAGAGCAACTCCAGAGATGAACAAACCTCTCTCTCCTCTAGATGAGCTCTTACGCAGCCTTAAGTAATAACGAGGCAACAAGTAATCGAGCTGAGACGACGGCGCGAGGCCGCGTTAGCGCACTAATCACTGATTTTTCTCAATCCATTATTATTTGAGCCCCCAACGCGCACACACGCGCGCACACACACACACACACACACACACACACACACACACACACACACACACACACACACACACACACACACACACACACCTGCCACTCCATTGCCGTCCGGAGACAGCACTTACACTTGAAGCCAAGCGAAGCGGCTGATTGGAGCAGATAGATAGACAGGCTCGCAGGCGGAACAGCCACCGCCATCATTAAAAAAAAAAAAGAGAAGAGCATAAAAGATGGAGAGGAAAGCAAAAGCAAAATAAATAAATAAATAAAAACATCTACGCGAGGTCGCTATGGTAACCCTCTGCCGACTTCCTGGCCGCTGTTGCGTGGCTCAGGCTCGGACGAGTTCTCGTCAGCCGCTGTGTTTGTGTGTGAGAGCGAGAGAGAAAGTGAGAGAAAGATGCAAATTCAGACAGTCTGAGAATTAGTCCCACAGAATGGAGATATGGGGGGGGGGGGGGGAGATATGTAAAATAATCATGCCCTTCCTTGCATTGGGAGGAGGGGGGGGGGGGGGGCAGGGGGGGGGGGGGGAGGGGGGGTGGGGGGGGTGAGGGGGGCATGGGGGGGGGGGGGAAGCATAGACGGAGATGGTTAAATGACACAACAAAGATGAGCAGCTGACAGTTTGCTGCCGATCCTTCAGGAGCATTGTTTACATCCAGACAGGCGCTGCAGGCACCCCCCTCATCTCCATCTCTCCATCGCCCTGTCTCTCGCTCTATCATTCCCTCTCTCTTTCGCTTTGTCTCCCTTTCTCCTGGATGGGGGTGACATGTGGGGCAACGCAGGAGCTCAGCGTGGTGCGTGCATGTGCGTGTGGAGAGAGAGCTCTTGTAGCAAAATATACACTTGCACAATTGCTCTTGCACATAAAAAAACACACACATAGACACTACAGAGGCTTGAGACACCACGCAATTAGCATTTATGGACGTAATGAAGTAAATACCACAGAATAACAAAGCCTCTCATCAGGGTTCACTATTTCACTAGAGACACATGAATAACGATAGCCACTTACACTTAGCCACAGTGGACTTGTGCATGCAGTTCCTCTGATAGTAGAGCAAAATGCCAGATAGAGATAAAGGACCATACCAGTGTGTTTCCAGGTTTGAGCCCCATAACTATATGACATGTATGTAATACAGGTATGTAATTAATGCAGTTATGTTACACAGTCTCCATCTGTTTCCTTTCATTTCCCACCGTTAATAAAACCAATACAACAAAAATGTTTGCTGAAGAATAATGCACACGTGATGTTCACTGTATTGGATTAAACAACTCAGCAGGTTTCCAAAAGGTTAGTTGTAATGTAGTATATATGTCATTTAGAAATGACAAAATAACTGATTAATTGACTTGAAAAGTAATTGGCAACAATTTTAAGAATTGTTTAAATGTGAATTAATCGTTAAAGTAGAAAATGTCAAACGTTTGCTGGTTTCAGGCTCTCAAATGTGAGGTTGTGCTGTTTGTCTCAGATTTACATAATTGCAAAGTGAATATCTTCCAGTTCTGGACTGTTAATTAGGGGACAAAAAAATGTTTGAAGATGTCACCACAGGCTCTAAAAACGTATCCGTGGCATTTTGTCACTATTTTCTGATATTTCATTATTTCAAGGACTATACAACTTGCTATAACTCACAAAGCTTAGTCTGCCCATAAGAAAGCACATTGACATTGCTTAATGGATGTAATGTCTGCAGTGTGTGTGTGTGTGTGTGTGTGTGTGCCTTTCAGTCAGTGCCTGAGTTTTTGCATGTGCATACACTTGACATAATGTTTTTAAGAGGAAAAAGACAGAAATGTTGGGGGAAAAAATGCCACCCACACAAAAAGGGCATGCAAACACAAAGCCATGCGCATGCACACACACACACACACGCACACACATATACGTCACCGGCAATCAGCAATACGGCGATCTTTAACCGCAGCCCGACTACATTACATTTGTGTGCATGTGTACATAGAACTACAGCAGATGATCTAACATTTAGTTAGGGAAACATGACACTCCAGCCCATTTAGTTTCACCCTAATTTGCAGCGTGGCCAGATGCTTTTGATATGTGCATTTCATTTTCAGACGGGTAGAATCATAGCCACCGCTCTTTTGATCACGGAGCAATATCATACTGTACTGTAGCTCAGACAGCTGGGTGGATTTCACTCACATATTAAAAAAAAATAAAAAACAAGTTTAATAAGTAAAAATCTGCGAAACCGTCCACCGCTGCTTAAAACGGTATAGCTCACTTAAAATATGCTTTTAAGTTTCTTTTAGGAGGAGTTCAGGAGTCATTTTAAGACACTGAGCAGCTCCACAACTACTTACCGTCGCAGTAAAAGGCAACTCTTACAGTACGTACCTCCTCTGAGTAGTGGTCTGAGGGAAGAGGGGGGTAGTCACACTGTTCTATCTTCTTACAAAGGGAGTAAAGGTTCATCTTATCCCCGTAGAACGGACTCTGCAGGGCTGCCATCTGAAATGTAAAGATATAAGGGAAAGACAAAAAAAGACGGGGTGTGAGAGAGCAAAGTGAAAACAGCCAGTCAAATGTTCAACAAGTGCTACACAGAAGACACTGTACAGTATGTTACGAGTAGAACCTGCACAGTTCAGTGCTATCGAGGTATCCGACTTATTGATAAAAGATGGGTGTGAGAGACAAATAAAGACAACAAGTCGATACACTGCATGTCCAAAGTTGTGTGTACATATCAAATCAGCACACACTTATTTATGGGGGGGGGGGGGGGGGGGGGGGTTGGGGGGGGGGTGGGGGGGCTGAAAAGAAACAGAAAACAAAAAAAAAAAAGCAAGAGGCGCC